ATAGTCAATAAAGCACAGGTAAACATCTTTCTGATATTCTCTGCTTTCAGCCAAGATCCATCGGACATCAGCAAAGATATCTCTCATTCCACATCCTCTTCTGAATCTGGCTTGAACCTCTGGAAGTTCTTTGTCAGTGTATACTTGCAGCCATTTCTCTATTACCTTCAGTAAAACTTTACTCACATGGGATATCAAAGATATTGTTCAATGATTTCGCATTCCGTTGGGTCACCTCTCGTTGGAATGGACACAAGTATGGATCACTTCCAGTCAGTTGGCCAGATAGATGTCTTCCAAATTTCTTGGCATAGATGAGTAAGTGCCTCCAGTGCTGCCTTAAATGGTTGCTGTTCAACCATTTCAAGAGGTATCATATGGTCAAAAGCCAATGATACTGAAGGTGCATTGAATGAATTGGCAAAGAACAAGGCTCCAGGAATTGATGTGATTAAGAAAATTGAAATGTTGGTATAGTACTTTAAATTCTTCATCTTTGACTTTAGTGGTTTGTGTGTAAATTTGAATAATATTCTTATGAACTGTTATTCCTTGAAGATATATGGGTATTATTGTGTCACAGATAGATCTTGAAATGTTCCTTTTGTTGATGAATGTGACTCTGTTCCTTTTTATCATTTCTAATATATTGGCTGTCTGATTAAAAATGCAAAATATGTATTTCATCTCATTAATGTCTAGGATATCAATCTTTATCCATTCAATTTTGATGACTTCCAATTTTTCTAGATTCATACTTTGTACAGTCCAGTTCCTTGTTATTAACGGGTGTTTACAGATGTTTCTTCTCATTTTGTAGCCTGCCACATCAGTAAATGAAAGTCTTTAAACTTTGCTGTATTCACTTCATAATGTAAAAATATGGAAGACAGCTACCTTGCCAACTGAGAAGAGATCCATATTTATGCCCTTTCCAAAGCAATGACAAAATGGTGTGCAGAAATAATGGGAAAATACCATTAATATCACATTCAACAGAGAGCTGACAGAAATTCAAACTGGATTTAGAAGAGGATGTGGAACAAGGGATATCATTGCTGACGTCAGTGGATCTTGGCTGAAAGCAGAGAATATCAGAAAAATGTTTACCTGTCTTTTATTGACTGTGCAAAGGCAAATAATGCTCATCTGGAAATCCTTAAAAGAAAGCATTTAAATAATAGAGAAAAGTTGTTGTTGTCATGTGCTGTCGAGTCAGTTCTGACTCATAGCAACTCTATGCACACAGAACAAAACACTGTCCAGTCCTGCATCATCTGCACAATTGTTGCTGCCACTGTGTCTATGTATCTCTTTTTTACTGACCTTCCATTTTTCCAAGTATGATGTCCCTTTTCAGGAACTGGTCCCTTTTGACAGTGAGGTCAAAGTTGTTGTTATTGTTAAGTGCTGTCAAGTTGATGCCGACCCATAGTGACCCTGTGTATAAGGATTTTCAAGGAGGAGCTGGTGAGCTTGAACCACAGACCTTGCAGTTCATATGACTTTGCAGTCTGACACATTAGTCCACAAAGCTTCAGCAGATTCAAAGTAGGAGAGATAAAATCTTGCCATCCTTGCTTCTAAGGAACATTTGGTTGTACTTCTTCCAAGACATATTTTTTTCCCATTCTTCTGGCAGTCCATTATAAGAACATTTGCAATACATTTTACAAAAATTTGGTATAGATCCCCCTCCTCCCCACAAACCAAACTTCTTGCTGTAAACTCACAGCAATGCTCTAGGACAGAATAGAATGGATCCATTGGGGTTCCAAGGCTGTAACCTTTACAGAAGTAGACTGTCACATCTTTTTCCCTCAGAGAGGCTCATGGGTTTGAAATGCTAGGTTTTTGGTTAGCAGCTGAACACATAATCACTGTGCTACAAGGGCTCCTGGTACAGAACCAGGGAAGTATTATTTTGTCCTCTGATGCATTTCCTTAGGTGGTAGAGGGCTGGTTGGCAGCAAACTCACATGTGTGTTTACTTTCAGTGTAGCCTTTTATCTCGTGTGAGGTCAACTCTCATATAATAGTTCATTGAGATTTCAGCATTCCCTTACATCACGTATC